GGGCCAGCGGGGGTTTTGGGGGGCCGCCCCCGGCGCCGCTTCTCTAGCGGCGACTCTGCCTCACTGCTCTCTGCCTTGGTGCGGGGCGAAACCGCGCGGCTCCCCTTGCCCCGCAATGCCGGCTCTGGGTCCTGGGTGGGAGGGGATGGCTTCCCCGCCTGCTCGGGTGAGCGGTTCTTGGGGGGACGGCCACGTTTCCGCTTAGGGGGTGGTGGGGTGGGCTCCTCAGGCTTGGTGGGGTGGGTGCCACCACGGGTCTCCAGCTCAATGCGGCGCCGAGCAGGGAGGTTGCGGAGCTGTGGTGGGTCCTTGGTGGCTGGCGACAGCTCAGGCTCCGAGACGCTGTGGGCCGAGCTGCCGCTGGGGCTCAGCACAGCACCGGTGGGCAGCTCAGGCTGGGAGGGGGCCATGGGGGTGCTGCGGTGGCAGCGGCGCCGGCGCCGAACCAGCTCCTTCTCCTCCACCACCGTGACAAGGCGGCCCGGAAGCTTGCGCAGGACCTTGGCGGCAGGCCCGTCCTGGCCCCGGTGATTCTGCCCGATCTCCACATCGGCACTGGTGCGGCGCCGCGGCGGCGTCTTGGCTGGCGATGGGCTGCCTGAGGACGAGGCCGTGGCTGCCGTGTCCGGTACTGGGTCTCCTGGTGGCTCCTCCATGGGGACCTGCGGCTCCATGGCAGCATCAGGTGGGGGCAAGGGTGGGGGGCCGTTGTGCTCAGGGCCGGTGGGTGCCTCAGGGGGGCTGGGGGCTGACTGGACCTCGGGCTCACCCAGCAGGCAAGGGGATGCCACAACACTGGGAGCCGGTGGCTCCGGCTCCTGGGGCTCCCCCAGTGCTTCATCAGGCAGCGTCTCTGAGGCAGGACACCGCTCCACGACGGCCTGCTCAGGAGCAGCCTCTGGTGCCTGGCAGCTTGGGGCCACATCCTCCCTGGGCAATGGCGTCTCAGGCACTGGGAGCTGCGGCGAGGCTGGCTGGACGCCCTCCTTCTCAGGCTCCAGGAGCTTGGGGCCCCTATCCCCGGTGCTGTCAGTCCTCTGTGGGTGTAGCCGCAGCACCCGGTCACCGCCACCCAGAGGTTCTGGTTTAGGGGGGGCCGGCCGGGGGGCTCTGTCAGCTGGCGTGGCGCGTACAGCCCTATCCCCACTGCCTAGGTCTGGCCTGGGTGCCTCTGTCCGGTGGGTTGTGGTGACAGCAGCAGCAGCAGCAGCAGCACGTGGCTGGGGGGGCCTGTCAGCCACCCCTGGGGCCCTGGCCGTGGCCCGGCGGGTCTCGTCCCGGCGTACGGCAGCGCTGCGTGTGTGCTGGGCCACCAGGGGCAGGTCATCCTCTCCCGCCTCCTCGGGTTCCTGCCGGGTGCCGCGGGCGGGCCGCAGAACAGGACCACGGGGCAGGGGGGCCTCAGCAGCGTCCTCAGCCTCGTGCAGGGAGAGGCGGGAGCCCCGCAGGCGCTCACTGGCGCGGGTGCCAGCGCGCTCAAGGCCAGCCCGTGCGGGTGTCTTGGCCTTCTTGCTCTTCTTGGCATGGGCCACCTCGTCGCCCAGACACCCAGCTTCCTCGTCGGCCGGCAGCTTGAACACCACCTCCTCCTTGGCTTGGTCAATGTCCTTCCGGGCAGCCTCCACCTGCTCCTGGGGGTGGGGGCAGAGAAGCTGGGGTCAATGGAGACCAATTGGGGGTTGAGGTAGGCCTGGGCGCGGTAGCAGAACTAAGGCACGGAGCTGTGTGTGGAGGTGAAGCGAAGACCCAGGGTATGGGACAAAGATGTTTCTGGGGGTGGAGCCAGCTGAGGGAGAGGGTGGCATGATAGGTAGATAGGGGCTAAGGGACCAATCTGGGGTAGATGGGCCTGTGGGGCAGAGGCAAGAAAGAGAAAGGGGGGGGATGCTGAGACACATGGGTTCAGGGGGGCGGAGCCTGTGAAGGAAGGAGGTGGGGCACAAGGGGAAATGAGTTCAGAGAGTGGAGCCAAGGCAGGGGAGCCAGCACCTCTGAGGAGGCAGAGCCAGGGCACCATGTGGTCTCCATGAAAGGTCGGGAGCCCGGAGCCAGAGGCTTCCGACAGCCTGGGAGACTGGTGCTGTGTGGCCAGTGGGCGGTGCCACGGGGCACAGAGGGAGCCACGGGCACCGCGCCATGCCCAGGAAGCGAGAGGCAGCAGGAGTGGGGCCTCACCTCAGCCTGCTTGAGCTCCTCGCGGCTGACGTCCTCCAGCGAGGCCTCCAGGAAGTTCATGGCATAGCGCTCGATGGGCGTCAGCTACCGGGGGGGGAGAATTGACCAGTCAGCCAGCAGGCTGGTGCCCAGGTCCTGTGCCCGTTCCAGGAGGAGCAGGGGAGCCCAGACCCCATGCATGCTGAACTCAGGTTCCCGGAACATTCTACCCCACCCCCAAATCGATGCATCTGGGGTCCCCCAACACACGCATAAACCAGGAACCTGGGCCCCATACTCCAGGTGTCCACCCCTGCCCCTGGGCCCTTACCCTCCTCAGGGCATCTGAACTCCAGGCACCCCTATGGAGCCCAGGTGTCTGGGCCCGCCCCCAGCACACACACACAACCCAGGTGTTCAAGGAAGGGCCCTTCCACAGACACACACACACACACACACAACCCAGGCATCTGGGCCCCACCAATGCACACTTGCACCCCAGGGATGCAGAACAGACACAAATACACCCCCACACACAACCCAGGCGTCTGGAGGTGCACCTGCTCAACCAGGGCGGCTATCTCCTGCTCAGCCTTGGACATCTCCTCATCGTCATCGCGTGGGGGCCGGTCATCAGCGTCCAGTGGGATGTTCTCGTTGAACTCAGCCAGTTCGGCCACTTGCTCCGCTTTGGCCTGTGTGGCCGCCCGGATGTCCTCGGGGTCCTCCGCCTTGCACAGCGCCTGCCACATGGACGCACGGCCCAATTAGCAGGAACCCCAGCGTCCGGGCCAGCCCACACCCCACCACAGAGCCCCAGCATCTGGGTTGCCCACCCGCCCACACAGAACCTAGGCACCAGGCACTGGTCCCTGCTGCCAGCACACACGCAGAACCAGGGAGCTGTGGCAGGCTGGAGACTGAATAGGACCCCAGATGCCTGGGTTCTCTGGGAAGGGAGTGGGGGCCAGGGGACGGCAGTGGACACCAGGACTGACTGGCACTCGCCAGGCTGGGGGGATGGTGGCAGAGGATCCCAGGGTGCAGCACCAGCAAGCCTGGGGCACACCCATTTCTCCTGCTCTACTGGGCACTGGGACCAGTCTGGCCCTTACACCCTTCGTACCCCACCCCAGTGCAGTGCTCCCCTCTGCCAAGTCGTGGCCTGGCCCCCTGTGCTCTGCCTCCTCCCCACCCCCATTCAGCCAACCCCAGCCTGCCTCAGCTGGCCCCAGCCCCCCAGTCCCCCCCCCCCCCCCTGCCATGCCCTCTGCAGCCCTCTCAGCTGTCTCTGTAGCCTGGCCCCACCCCCCACCTCCACCGCTTGGGCCTGGGCCCACAGCCTGCCCCTGGGCCACAACCCCACTCTGGACATGGCACACCCCCACCCTCCAGGGGTGGGCAAAATATGGCTTGAAGGCTGGATCTGGCCCACCATGAGGTTCTGTGCAGCCTGCAGTGGGTCCCTCAACCCAGCCCAGACTCTGGCACGAGGGGCAGCCTGGGCAACGGTGCATGCAGCCAGTCCTGCCTGGCGCAGGGTGCAGCCCACCCTATACCTGCATATGCGGCTGCGGGGCACGCTGGGAGCTGTAGTCCACAGGGACAGGTGGCGACCCCTTGTGGGTGCCACTGCCAGTGTGGACACCACTGCCAATCCCAGCCCTGCTGCCCAGGCACCCTGGCCCATCTACCATGCACCCACCATGGCGGGGGTGAGGGGTGCTCGACCAGGCAAATGGGATGGTAACAATGGGGTGGGACCAGGGTCTGGGGCAGAGCCACAAGCTGCTCCCCACACATCCCTGTAATGGGCACAGATTCTGTGGGCAGAGACCGTGTCAGCCCTCTCCCTGTCCCCCTCCCCACCCTGGCCTTCAACAGATCATCAAAACAAGTGGTCCCCGGCCCAAAGTTTCCCACTCCTTAGGCCCTCAACTGGGACCTACAGACCACCCCCAAATCCCATGACCCAGCCGCACAACCCCCTCTGCCTGCCTACAGAGCGCCCCCCCCAAAGACCAGCCCCCCGCAACCCGGCCCACACCTGCTCCAGGATCTGTGTCTGTTTGGTGGCTACGGGATCGTCCTCATCCTCAGGTGTGGGGGCCGGCACGTCTCCATCCTTGCGGACTGGCTCATCCAACGGCATGTCAAACAGGTCCCGAATTGTTTGCTAAGGACAGACAGCCGGAAACCACCAATCAGAGGGGAGCAAGGCAGGGGTGGGGGGTGGAACTTGCTCATGAGGGGGTAAAAGAGGAGGAAATGTAAAGCAAGCTCAGCAGGACACCTGGGTTCTTCCCCAGCGATGGAAGGGAAGAGGGGTGTGAGAGCAGGGAGGGCTGGGAGCCTGGGGTCTTTGGGAGGGGCATGGTGGGGTGGGGGAGAGGATGGACGCTGGAGAGCTTGGATTCTCCAGGAGAGATGGGGATGAAAGCAGGAAAGGCCAGGAGCTCGGACACCTGGGTTCTTTCAGAGAAGGGTGGGGCTGGCGGACGAGAGCTGAGAGGATTGGGAGCCCAGACGCCCGGCTTCTCTGGGAGAGGAATGGGGGCTGGGGGGGTGAGAGCAGGGGAGCTGGGCACCTGGACGCCTGGGTTCCCCAGGGAGGGACCTCACCTGTTTGAAGTAGGCCGTGGTGAAGTTCCCGCCCTCGATGGCCATGTCCCCCAGCATGCGCTTCTGATTGGCCTTCTTCAGGATGTTCTCTTCCACTGTGCGCTCGCTGATCAGCCTAGGGGTGGGGTAACAGCAGGGGGGTGGAGTTAAACCTGTGTGGGGTGCAAGCCACACCCACCAGAG